ATGCTTCTTAATTAGAAAAGTCAGTTAGGTACCACCCTCTCATTTACATCAAGTGGTCTGAACAGATGATTATAACGATTCCTTCTAATTTTATGCTCCCTAATTATTTAGAAAATTTTTAAGCAATTGAAACACTTATTCAATGTAATTTGGCTCATCAAGGAAGCACAACCCTGAATTCAGGTGCATAGAATACTGGAAGAAGAAAAAGAAGAAATACAAGAGTAGAAGGTAATAATGAAACTGTATTGGTCAGCATGCAAAACAGCAAACTCAGGAAAACAGTAGCCTAACCACCACCGCTGAGTTCTTTCTATAGATGGAAATTCTGCAAAGTTACCTCAATTTCTTTCAATACCCTTTCTTATAAGAACCTCCTTTCCAATACATAGCAAAAAAACCAAAGCCGTGTGTTCGAGAACCCAATAAGCGGGAGGCAGGAGCTGGTGCTAGGTGCACATCAATTTTAGATTTCGCATTCAGACTCCTTCCTGTTTTCCTTAATATGTTTTACTTTTTACAAGTCTTTTGTTGCACAAGTATACATCTTCACAGCATTTAAAATTTACAAAGTCCAGTCATCAGCATCTACAAAACACAGCAAAGCATTATTTTTCACCATACTCCTGTTTTACAGTTGCAAACACAGAGTTAGGCAAGCTGGGCAAGACATCTTAGTCAAAAAAGCCAGACATGCAAAGCTTTTGATTATAACTTTTTATTGTAAACACTGGACTGTATTAATTCTGTGGGCAGGAATGGGGCAGCAGCTGCATGGGATTAGTGTGTTAAAGGATACAGCAATATATGAAGACAGTGCTTTCATTGTGCCAGTATAACCTCTGCAATTTGATGGTACTTATTCCAAGTAAGATTGAAGAGAAGTAAATCTGATATAGTGCTATACAAATTTAAATATAAGGTACCAGTTACAGACCACCTTTACTCAACTGTCCTAGAAGGATAGTTCCAACAGGTCTAGAAAAATGGAAGCAAGTCTAACCAATCTAAAATATCTTTCCAGGATTTTGTTACCTTCCCTTATCCCATCCTTCACAAGTTCTACAGTGTATTTGCTAATAGTGCTAACATATAACTTATAAGGCAACAGTCTAATGCCGTATTTATTTTTGTATTACCTAAAAATTAGCACTTTCATTTGCTTGTAAAAAAATAAAACCCCACTGGGTTTACCAAACAATAATCTGAGTGAACATGGGGCTATACTATTTAGTCCATCACTGGAGGATTGCTTACGCTTGCTACTTAAACCATTGACTAAGGCCACATTTCAGGTAACTACTTCAATACTTTGTAGAAGAATACAGTAGGCTACATAATTTATCATCAATCTGTAATTTTACTTTTTGCTCAGACAATGTTAATAGAAAACCAAAAATTCCAATTCTGTGTGGTAATTTTGATGGTATTTTTAAAGTGTTTTCAAGTCTCCATTAAGCTAATTAATTTTTTAATATGCACTAAAGCCAACATTGCCCACTTATAGTGCAGTAAAATCCTAGAAGAGAACTTCGCCCCAATCAGCATAGGGTATCTGTTTAGTTTAAATAAGGCCATAATTTGAAGCCACATATTTAGTCAATGAATCATAGTGAAGCTAAAAAGGGAAAGTTACCATTACAGCAAAATTGTTGAGGACGAACTTTGCAATATTCCAGTTCTTCACATTTTCATGTACATTTCCAGTGCTGCATTCCTCAAACTGAAAGACTCAAGCTTCTCCTATTGTTCGCTAAGTAATTTTCAACACAAAAGTAGAAACATATCACAGGAACTTGACATCTAACATTCCTGAATATCAGGATCACCAATGACCATCCGCAAAAGAGACCTCTCTGATCAAACTGAAAACATTTAGCAATTTCAAAAATATTCAGCTATTACTTATCCTTGATATCCAATGCAAGAAATTTCCAGCAAGATAATAGGCTATAGAGACACCCTAAAGTTTCCACAATTAACGGTGCATTACAGGTAAGACAAAGGCCTCAGACCCTGTCTTACATCATGTCATAAGGACATACAGTTGCTGTCAGCTAAGGGTAATTTAATTTTTTCCCAATATTCCAGACATTTGTAGATTACCTGAAAATTGCTTAGCATTCTAGTAACACTTTAACATTTTTCTTGGTCATAAAAAAATCTGCTGGACTAAATAACTTTAGATCCTTGGTTTTATTTAACTAAAAGCTCTTGTCTTTTTCTACTTAAAAATGAGTAGTTCTGAATGGAGCACTCACATTTACAACACATCCGTTACTACTCTTTGTAATCAACCCTGCCAGAGAAGTTACTGCCACAGACTGCCTAACAAAGGAGAAGCTGGACTGCAATGCAAGTAATGCAATGTAATACAGGAAAAAGTCAAAGAAATTACCTTTGTTACAGGCAGTTCCTTCTCCATTACCTTCTCTACTCCCTACAGCCATTGAGACCCTGATCCCAGCCTATGCCCTCAAACCACCCAAGACGCAGACCTCTACTTCCTCTTACTGACTCAGATGCACAATTTAACCTCCACACAAGGATCCCTTATCAGGCTAACAGTGACATGAAAGGTCTATAGCATGTTATTACCTTACAAAAAACATGATGTCAGAGTTACAGATGGATGCTTGAGTATGATTCAGAGGAAATGAAAATGTGGCCCTGTTGAGAAAACAAGGAATGAAGGCAAAAAAAACTGAGTGTCAGTGGCAAAGAGTGTAAGCCAAAGGAACTTTGGAGACTATTCTACCACCTTTTGTAGTTTTCTTCATTTTATCCTTAATAGCATTACAGCTGTCATCAAAAGAAGTAAAAATCTCACTGAACTAATGCTGTATTTACAATGGTAAGAAATTTTCTTAAAAAACTTTAGGTTGAACTTTAGTGGGAAAAAAAATAAGGGGTAGGGGTCTTCAGCAGAACATACACATGACAAAAATACCTGTAAAACCAACTTCATTGTTAAATTTTGTTTGTCTTTAAAGGAAGAGGAAATTTTTGTAGAATTTGCATTGAGTTTCATTTGGTAATCAGATACAAACAGTACAATAAAGCCTAGATAAAAGCAACAAAAAAAGCCACAATTAAGTCACTTGATACATCAAGAAAACATGATATACCAGAGACAAAACCTCTGAATTTTCATTTTCTGAAGTAAAGACACTCCTAGCCCTTTCAGAAGGCAGATCATCTATTAAAATAGCCATCTATTGAAAAAATAAATCCTTATCAGCATCTCAGGCTTTACTTCTCTTCGATATTAGAATAAGTAGGTCTTGTTTCTCAGAAGTGTGATTAATAAACACCTTCACTCTTCAAATTCAAAAAAAGGTACTGAAGCACAAACTTTTTGTTGAATCATAATTTTTCACTCTTTTCCATGACTATTGAGATAGCTAACAGATAGACTATTGCATTTTTTAGGAATTTTTCCTTCTTAAATGCCTAATATACACGAATCACAGTATTTGACCATCTAGCTAAGGAAAGGCCATATTTAGCCTAAGTAATATCAAACATATGCATATGAGTCAAACAGTTATTCATACACAGGATTATTCAAGAGGTCTAATGTTTGAATCATTATTTGTCAGAAAACTCGGTCTGTACAAAGCACTACTTTCTAGATGAACCTCATTTAAATTTTTCATCAGCTGCATTTACTCTTCCTAAATTATTCAGCTCTATAAGAGTTTTAGGTTCCACAGAAAAACACAAACCTATGAATCTTTCCACTGATTAGACTATTTGCACAGACAACTGCCCTGTCACTGCAGAAACTACAACATTCAACTACTTAAAAAGCTTTTTGCTGAGACAAACGCTCAAGCACTGTGACAAAAAATACTAATACCAAACCCCAAACAACCCAAATTGCATAGTTCTACAGAAACAGTTCCCCTGCATTACTGCAGTAACTCTTGAGGTTTATGCTAATAACTAAACACTAATGATTAAGAAAAAGGCCTTAGCTGCATCATCCTGAAAAGCAGAGATAATGTTACTGGACTTCGAATGTAGAGCAGATAAAGAATCTCACTGCTAGTTCAAAGACAAAAATAATCAACTCTTTTCTAAAAAGAGCCCAAATGAATCTTCAAGCTAATATGCATATACGTATGCATTAGAAGTTCCCCATATTGCTTCCCCTACATTAAATGAGTTTCTTCCTGACAAAATTCCAAGTTAAAGACAGCAAAGGCTTACTAAAACTTGATGGGTGTGACACCAATATACTAAACCGGAACGTAGGGTTACCTCATACTGTTACTTCAGGGCAAGTACTTCAGTCATGTATTCCAGCTAACAGACCTGAAATCAGGGAGCTTCTAATTACCCATGACAAATTCTTATTTGCAAACAGCTAGGCAGACAAACCGATACCAATCCACCTCTAGGAGTAACGTGGGAGGATGCTGATGACACCTTTGAAAGGCTAATTGCATTCGCCAGAAGCCCGAGATCATCTTCAGGCCCTTGCAACACTGCCACCCATTTCCAGAAGACAGAATCAAAGAATACTGAACTCATTCGCATCCAAAGTACTTCTCACTTTTCACAAACAGGACTTGCAAATAAAGCTGGCTAAGAGCTTTGCCAAAATGCTGACAGAGTAATAGAAAATAAGGCTAAAAATTATATTGGGAAGTCATGTTGCATTAAGATCACACACACCAATATCAACTGTACGGTCACAATAGTCATGAATCAGGATAGTACTCTGCTACTTTTAGTCTACCAACATGTAACAAAAAGATGTTTCTAGCTTGCACAAGTTCTACTTTTCAAAGATTGCAAAACCAAACTTACCAAAAGGACACAGCAGTACTAACATACTAACAGCTAGAGGCATATATCAACGAGGCAGTGATGGTCACCGTGATAAAGCACGACCTCAACACAGCAGCAGTGCTGATACTGTCAAGAGTTGCCCAAAAATAAAGCAAAGAAACAAAAGAACCCAGGGAGTTTCAACATTTTTTTCCTGAAAGATGCCGAGATACTTGTACAAAAGTCTACAGGCTGTTCATACCGAGAGTGAGAGCCATCATGTGAAGAAGTGGAACGCTACGCGGTTGTAAGATCAGTAACAGGAGATTGAAGTTAGCATCGTGCCCTGACCGACGGCAAGGTCCCCCCTGCCCACGGCCTGCGAGCCGGGCGGGCACGGCCCTTCCCTCAGGGTACGTCCAGCTCCTCAGGCACAGCGGCTGCAAAAGGAGCAAGCAGCAGGCAGACCTCTGCCGCCCC